TTATAGTGTTGTTTCTAAGTTCTGTTATATAGAAGTTAATATGTGTAGTAAACAGTTTCTATATTATAGTGTTGTTTCTAAGTTCTGTTATATAGAAGTTATTGTGTGTAGTAAACAATTTCTATATTATAGTGTTGTTTCTAAGTGCTGTTATATAAAAGTTATATATGTCTGTTATGTAGAAGTTATATATGTGTAGTAAACAGTTTCTATATTATAGTGTTGTTTCTAAGTGCTGTTATATAGAAGTTATATATGTCTGTTATACAGAAGTTATATATGTCTGTTATATAGAAGTTATTGTGTGTAGTAAACAGTTTCTATATTATAGTGTTGTTTCTAAGTTCTGTTATATAGAAGTTATTGTGTGTAGTAAACAGTTTCTATATTATAGTGTTGTTTCTAAGTTCTGTTATATAGAAGTTATATACGTCTGTTATATAGAAGTTATATATGTCTGTTATATAGAAGTTATATATGTCTGTTATATAGAAGTTACATATGTCTGTTATATAGAAGTTACATATGTCTGTTATGTAGAAGTTACATATGTCTGTTATATAAAAATTATATATGTCTGTTATATAGAAATTATTATGTGTAGTAAACAGTTTCTGTATTATAGTGTTGTTTCTAAGTGCTGTTATATAGAAGTTATATATGTCTGTTATATAGAAGTTACATATGTCTGTTATATAGAAGTTATATATGTCTGTTATGTAGAAGTTATATATGTGTAGTAAACAGTTTCTATATTATAGTGTTGTTTCTAAGTGCTGTTATATAGAAGTTATATATGTCTGTTATATAGAAGTTACATATGTCTGTTATATAGAAGTTATTGTGTGTAGTAAACAATTTCTATATTATAGTGTTGTTTCTAAGTGCTGTTCTATAGAAGTTATATATGTCTGTTATGTAGAAGTTATTGTCTCTTTCATCTAAACTGTTTTAAGTGAGGGTTTTATAATATATTTTATAATGCTAGTTAATTTTACAGTGACTAAACATTGGTTGGGAGTAGTAAGTAAACCATGATGATGACCAGTACAATGACGTGTGTACCAACTTGTATTCAGGGTTACTTATATGTATGTATTCTTCTTAGCTTCCCAGGACACAGTGAACACAAATTAGAAATGGCTCATATTTTCATTGAATCTTCTCTCGGTATCGAAGGGTGCGCGCGCATTGTCACGTGATAATAACTGTTCTCTGACGTGTAACTTGCACACAATACTATTGTGTTGCTCTTTTCGTTCGGCGACGATCAATCGAAGCCGACGTTTTATCGTGTCAGGCTTAACTGCGCGACTAGTGTTGATGACTGTGTTTCAGTGAATACTGGCCAAGGTTTCTTGATCGTTGTTTAGAAGTTCAGTTGTCGTGTTGGGATATAGTACGGGGGTAAAATGACAGAAGAGAAAAAAGAAAATAAGGTAATATACTGATATAAACCTATAGATACAGTTAAAACCTGCGTCAGCAGAAGTAGTACTGATAGTCGTTGTCATTATTGTGTCTGTTTCCTTGTATTTGTTTCTCACTTTTTTTTTTTGCCGCGGCATATCGGCTCATAGAATGGCTCTGAGGTTTTTGTTTTGTTTTTCAAGTATAAACTTTTAGCTCTTAGCTCCGTCATCTCTTGACCGATTTGAGATCTAATTACAGCTTTGGACTCGGAAGGTCAAACCCTTTCGATTGGTGTATTTGACCACGCCCTAGGTCTCATAGAGTAATTTATTCTAATCCTGCTTAAAAGAATTTCAATTTGAGGGTAGGCTGTTAGAGATCGTGATGAGTAATAAAAGCGAAGTGGGTATACGCGTGCTCCATGCTTGGTATTGGTGGTGAACAAAAATATAGCTAATAAAAAAGGGGAGGGGGGAGTTTCTGATAAATTTACTTTATTCCTGCCAAAAAGAATTTCAAGTGTCACGGCTATTGAGTATTCCCTTTTGTTTCATAACTTCATTTGCTAGTTATTCGTTTCTTGTTCCACGTTTATGGAAACAGTTGTTTTAAACATTTCTATTTATCTCTTGTCTATCTCCTTATTTACTTGTAAGACATTTTGGAAATACTAATTAATTGTGTTTTTCTTTGTTTTCCGCAGTGTGACAGTGAAAGTGAAGAAGAAAAGGTGAGTAAAAATTTGACCAATAGCTACTAATTAAACTTAATTATTCATCAAGTCGCTGGTAAGTTACTGGTTCAAGAAGAATTTATAGTTGTTCAAATATTTATATTCAAACGTACCAGGTTGTTAAACAATCTTCACGCTAGATTTATTGAATTACGGACTATTTGTTTTTTAAGACTAGCGGAGGTTACCTGCGTAACGTGGTTTGTTGAATTACGGACTATTTGTGTAATAAGACTAGCGGAGGTTACCTGCGTAACGTGGTTTGTTGAATTACGGACTATTTCTTTAATAAGACTAGCGGAGGTTACCCGCGTAACGTGGTTTGTTGAATTACGGACTATTTGTTTCATGTCTTGAAGTATAAGATATTACAATGTATATATCTACGAGATAGATACCTAGACACCGTTAATTCATCCGCTACTCTGATCCAATAACGGGATTTAACCACCAACGTTTCTTGTTTATGTTGAACTTCTTCGTGAGAGACTTTTTGTGTTTGTTTATTTGTTGAATTTCTCGCAAAGCTGCTCGAGAGTTGTAAAGCAGAGACGGCTGGTGTTTATTTTAATTAAAGTTTTTAACACCCGTGCCAGCCGTCTCTGCTATACATTTTTAATTCAAGTGGGTTTCTCGTCATCATTAAACACTCGAGAGTTGTCTGCCTAAATCGCCTGTAATTTAGAAATTTCAGACTAGAGGGAAGGCACTTAATCAACACCGCCCACCGCCAACTCTTGGGCTACTCTTTTACCAACGAATAGTGGAGTTGTCCCTCACATTATAACCACACACGGCTGAAATGGCGAACATGTTAGTGGAGTTGTCCCTCACATTGTAACCACACACGGCTGAAATGGCGAACATGTTAGTGGAGTTGTCCCTCACATTATAACCACACACGGCTGAAATGGCGAACATGTTAGTGGAGTTGTCCCTCACATTATAACCACACACGGCTGAAATGGCGAACATGTTAGTGGAGTTGCCCCTCACATTGTAACCACACACGGCTGAAATGGCGAACATGTTAGTGGAGTTGTCCCTCACATTATAACCACACGCGGCTGAAATGGCGAACATGTCCCAACTACCAGGTTCTATGTTACAAGTGTAGTGTCCTAACTACCAGGTTCTATGTTACAAGTGTAATGTTCTAACTACCAGGTTCTATGTTACAAGTGTAGTGTCCTAACTACCAGGTTCTGTGTTACAAGTGTAATGTCCTAACTACCAGGTTCTATGTTACAAGTGTAGTGTCCTAACTACCAGGTTCTATGTTACAAGTGTAATGTCCTAACTACCAGGTTCTATGTTACAAATAGGCCAACCAAAGCATTCAGTTAATATCTTTGTTAAGGCTGGAAATAGACTTATCCAAGTATTCTGTTAATATCTTTGTTAAAGCTATAAATAGGCCTAACCTAGTATTGTCTTAATATCTTTGTTAAAGTTCGAAATAGGCTTAACCGAATATTCTGTTAATATCTTTGTTAAAGCTATAAATAGGCCTAACCTAGTATTGTCTTAATGTCTTTGTTAAAGTTCTAAATAGGCTTAACC